GTTGAAGGAGATGCCTGGAAAGGGAAGAGATTGTTCTTTTTTCCAGGTAGCATCTTGTCTTGGGATGGTACCAAAACACCAAATTCCTCTTGTGAAAATATCCCCTCGCACATTCATCACAAAACCCCATTTGCTGTTTTATGTTGGATATTACCAAACAATTCAGCTATATTCTCTGAGTGATTTTGTTCAAAGGCAACATTCCTCTAGAGCAGGGGTAGGCAACCTTGGCTCTTTTGTGACTCATGGACTTCAACTCCCTGAATTCCTGAGCCAGCTAAGCTATGAAGTCCATGAGTCATAAAAGAGCCAAGGTTGCCTAGCCCTGCTCTAGAGTCTACCTGCAGGAAGTCTGAGAAAACTCTGTTCATTTTCACTGTAAGAATGCAAGCAGCTGAATATGCATTCCACAACACTGCAGTGACAAAATTAAGGAAAGATGAGTAAACAATATTATGTAAGAATGTATTTCTCTGTTATGGAAATGAATTATGTAATTTAGATAATTGCAAAATATTTTCAGGACAATCCGAATAGCTAAATATTTTTATTGCTATTTGTTTTGAAAATATTGATGCAGTGGATTTATATATCAGGCTAAGCCATGGTTTTTTAAATAGTGGTTTATTGAGGAAACTGCAATTGGTTGGACTCACATTTGGACTAATCCGTACAGCGTGGTTTACAACCCACAGTAGCTGAGTTCACCTAGCATTCTAAACCCTGACTATGATTTAGCGTGATTTGTGAACAAAACTGATATATTATTTCTCCCCTAGAGGAAACTACCTTTCCAAAGGAACTGTGGAGAAAAAAAGAGATGTATAGATCAAGCATATAAATCATACTTAAATCAGGCATAACAATCAGAACTACTTTATGCTTTATGGGCAAGTTTCTAGCTAGACTTATACATTCATTATCATGATTTTTAACTATGGCTTAATGAATAAGCTACAGTATCCTATTTATGTAATACACTGACCTGCAAAGCATGATTTACAACCACAGTGATTGGATCCATCAGCTAAGCCCAAACTAAACTACTTTCTGATTAACAGGGTATTAAATTCAAACTGAGTCTGTTAAAAGTTGTGGTGGGGTGCTGAAGTACAGGATTTCATGATTCAGTGTCAGAAAGACAGCTTATTACAGCAATGTTTTTTTTTGGGGGGGGTTGTTATTTTCCTGTATGTGCTTTGCATTTGTAACCATTAATTATTTGTACTCCTGGAATTGTTATTTTATTGCTTGATTACTTGACTAAACCACAATGAATTAAAATTCAGCTGTATTTCTTTTTTTCCCCGGATGATCTTGTTCATATTCCTCTTTTTTTTCTATACCTGCTAGTGCCTAAACAAACATTCACGCCTTCTAAAATAAATGATACATTGGTGGGATTTCAGCAGCCATGTCAAAAATTTCCTTTTGGGAGAAAGTTTCAAATTTCTTGGCTTCCAACAATTATAGCTTGTCATGGCTGAGTCATATGGATTCTAATGAGTGTGCTCTCAGATGAAGAGTTTGCACTGGAAAAAAATGATGATAATCCATGTACGGAAGAAATAATTGCTTTGGTCATGAACAATTAGCTTTGGTTTTCAGCATCATCTAATCCTTCCTAAGAAGCCCATTAAGATGCTTTCCCTTGAAAACTCATGAATGTGACCAGACTGATGGATTGGTCTTAAGAACAAAGAATGCAAATATTACTAAGAAGTCAATCTGGATAGCATTAAACATGACAAATCCTACCAGATTAATGGATATTTCAAAACGCTTCCATGTTCAGTTCAAGATGGTGATGGTAATCTATTCATAAGCAATTATACTCAATGGCTTGCAGCCATCACCACTGTACCCATCTGTCATAAAGACTGTGACCCATCTAGTTTTTTTTTCACAAAACAAAGATATCATATATAGAAAAGCAGAAGAGTTTTGTTGGGATATTACCATTCAGAATTTGATTTGGGGACTTCCAGACCTAATGCATCTGTATATGTTGACCTACATTGTTTCCTGAGATTCAGTTGTTTTCTTGCCTTCATTCACCAGTTGTTTTTATTTGAAAAATCGCCATGGCCAAAACTAGAAAGATGTCACTTTGCCCCTTTCATATTTTAGCAGTCTTGGTTTCAGCTTGATTCTTCCCCATCAAAAGCTACAAGACGTATTTGGAATACATCAGGCAGATTTAAATGTGATGCAAAACTCTCACAAGATGATTTTATGGGTAACCCTCTTCCTTAGGAGCTTGCCAGACAATTTTCTATAGTTCACAGACAAAAAAGCATTAATACTTAGTTTAGATGACCTTATTATCAATCAGTTTTTCAAAACATCTGATATTTCGCAAAAACAATTTGATGCCCAGCACCAGTACTTGTAATTAAAAGAGCTCTTGATTGTATAATTTGAACCTGGTGCATGAATTACATCTAAGCTTCAATGAGGATTAATATTAGAAAAAAAATGTTTCAAAGGTCCTAAATTTACTTTTTTTTCATTCAGTTTTAAATTTATGTTAGGCTAGAAATGGGCTGCAAGTTATTTGAAATACTCTAATAGGAATGTTGTTTTAACAAGTCAATTAAGTTAGGGTAAAGAATATTTAATTAGAATGATAGTATATGACCCCTGAATGATATTAATTCAACAAAATATTCTTTTCTGGGTATACTGGATCTCTTCAAGGATATACTGTATAATTAGGGTTGGAGATCACCTTCTATGTGTTGGAAGTGAAGTATATTGGTTTCTGGCCCAGATTGTAGGCCTGCTCTAGGCCAACATAATTTTGGTTTAATCTTCAATGATTCATAGGGTGCTCACAAAAGAAAACATGCTTTTTGAACATGTTGCATTATATTGAAGTACAAAGAATGCTGCATCTATATCTACAGCTAGGAAGATGGTTTTATTTTGGTGGACGCAACTTAAAACCCTACATTTTACACAAGAACTGGCTTGCTGCTGATGCCATAGGAATCTGATGAATATACAGCCAGCCTTTGTTGTTTGAGACTTGACGTGGTTATATAGGATGTACCAAAATTCATGCCCCAAAGACAATTTATTATATAAATTACATTAAATGTTCAGATTGGACCCTTAAACATTCCTGAGCATGGCAACAGTTTCTCTGAAAAACAAAAATATTAATAAAATCTATTGTAATTGGCCTCTGGGGACCTGATTTTTTTGGTACATTCTATATTTGTTCAAAAATTATTTACTTTTTTTTGTCCTTTTTTTTTTTTTTTTTTTTGCTTTCGCCCTCTATGTTCAAGTTACATTCCAGTTTATTTTGGTTTTGGTGCTATTTACTATTATATCTGATTGTTGTCTCTTTTTTCCTGTGATAGGACTAGATACGTTAAAAAAGGTACATTCAAGAGACACATTCTGCATACAGTACAGAGAAAAGGTCTGTATTTCTTGCTCTCGTTGGTATGACATATGGTTGTATGAACTACAAAACCTTTCACGTTCTACCAAGGATGGGGAAGCTTGCCTCATCACTCCAGTTTGTTCGTGCAGCAAAAACATTTGGGAAGAAGGGATGAAGCTTGTGCAATTCTCTATTTTCCTACAGAAGAAGATCTCTCCCACCTCCCATGCTTTTTCAATACCACAGCTGGGGGGTGGGGGGTGGGGGGACACACACACACAAACACACACACACACACACACACACATTGTACCTGGCTGCATTTAGCAAAAATAAAAAGAAAGTAGCCACTTCACAGGGCATAAACTTTTACTTTAAATAAAATACACAGCATAAGCCGGTCATACAAACCTCCACACCCGCGTGCGCGCGCACACACACACCGAAACATGTACAGAGCTGATGTATGGCTGCCTCAAACCAGCAAGTTCTCATCACAGCCAAAGTCCAGCAAATTTGTTTTGAGCGGCAGAAACTGCTCCCCACCTGCCCGGTCCCTCCCACCCAGCCGGCGAAAGGCATGGAAAGACGGGGACTGCCGGACGACAAAATCCAGTCCCCTCTTTTGCCACCTGCTAGTGCAAACGATTGGAAGATTGGAACACACACGGCAGAAAGGGTTGTGCTGAGGGTATTGGGTAGGTGGGGGCCTTTTGGGTGGAAGGACCTTCCTGCCCCACATCTTTTCTCCTGGGAGTGCTGGACGGTACCATCGTGGTACCGGTTTCTCCACTGGATTTTGCAATGAGGCAAGGCAGCGTGTCTCTGCTTAGGACAGTGTTTCTCAACCTTGACAATTTTAAGGCATGTGGACTTCAACTCCCAGAATTCCACAGCCAGCATTGCTGGCTGTGGAATTCTGGGAGTTGAAGTCCACATGCCTTAAAATTGTCAAGGTTGAGAAACACTGGCTTAGAAGGTAGAAAGAGGTGGGCGGCTGCCATCTTGCGTGTGTGTGTGTGTGTGTGTGTGTGTGTCCGCGTGCCCTCTGTTGCAAAGGAGGGACAAATGGCATGCCTCGTCAGTTATGGGTGGAAGTGAGTCAGAGAAGCCCTGTGGAGCACCAAAGTTCTTCTTTAAAAGAGCCATATTGTCACGTACAGCCTTGCACGGCAACTCCGGGAAAAGCAGTGTAGGAAGTCCTCTCAAACGCAGTGAGAGGAGCGGGGGAGCATCTCTATACTAGTAGCTCTACAGCTCACTTATATTCATCTTCCCCCACCCCCACCCCCAAAGAAAGATTAAAAGGAGCAAAGCTGCTTCCCTCCCACACCTCTCTCAGCTTCTAGACAGCCTTCCAGCAGCCAAGAATAACTACATCACCAGGGATCCAACAAGCCAGGATAAAAGTGCAAAGTTGCAGAATTACTTCTGGCATGCAACGCTCCCAGGAAAGAGGGGCATGCTCGGGGAGACGGCAGCCTGATGGATCAGGTAGGGTGGGATTCAGAACGCTAAAATCTCCCAAAAACTGGGACTTGGGTGAACCCCCGAGCGGGGAGATTAAAAGGGCAGAAAATCTGGGATTGCACCTATATATAGAGAGAGGGGAGGGGGGAGAAATCAACACGGCAGATGGACGAGGCCAAAATCACTATGGAACCTATGCCTCTGCTTGCAACTTCTCTTGGTGCCTGGGAACCAGCACCTCCCCAATCTTCTGAAGGCCAGGACTTAAAGGGGCGGTGGGAGAAGGGACAGGTCAGAGACTGATGCTGCGGTGATGCTTAAAGGGGTGGGGCTGAGCCATCCGCCGCTGCTCCCTTTCCTCCAGCTCATCGCTGTTGAGACTGGCAGCATCAGACAGGCCCAGCAGGTGCTCAACTGAGTCAAACTTCTGCAGGTCAGAGGCGATGGTCTGGAAGCTGAGGACCGAGAGCGTGTCGGACGAGGCAACAGGCTCAGGAGGTAGCACCATCCCGCCGTAGAGCAGTGCCGGGCTGGCTTCAGCACCAACTGGGGAAGCGCGCCGTCCCACCAAGCGCTGGAGCCGCCGGGCGTGGATCTGCTCGCTGATCTGCTCTAGGTTGCGCAGGGCTACGGAATAGCGCATCTTGGCCTGGGCAACCTGCTGCTCTAGGGACGTCACCCTGGCCTTGTGCTCCTAAAACACAAGGAATACCGGGCAAGAAAATCTACCATGAAGGTTAACATCACACCCATCGATACATTATTGTATTATACCGAGGACAAGATCTCTGCCTCAGGAACACTATTCTAAAACTGAGGAAGATTGGAGGCAGATATAGACACCCATAGAAGTACACTCCTCGGCCACCTTCAATACTGAGTGAGTAGTTAAACTTTGTGGTTTAAGATTGCATCAGGTAGAAAAGATGGATGGGAGAGACAAAATCAAAATTAAAAAGAGGATGGGAGTTTGCAGCCCTCAGCCCAAACATTGTGCACTTAGGCTGTGTATAACCAGCTGGGAATCCACTATTCCAAAGTCAATTCCCAATTTCCACCTAGAATTCCAAATTCTCTCCCATCCCATTCGAAAATCTGAATTCTAAGCGAGTATGACAGATGGGTCTACATGACAACAGAGAAATAGCAAATCACTTCCATACTACAGTAGTGGCCAAAATTGTGGAAACCTTTTGCGAAAAGTGTACAGTAGAAATGTCACCTTTGGTTAAGTTTCCACCAATTTTTCTTCTAATTTCTTTATAACTGTAGCCTTGTTCACTTAATAATACTATTTTACATTGCTTTCTGGGAAACCAGTCAACTCTTTGCACCATGACTTCAATTTTATTACGTTTTACAAGCTCACTAAATGAAAGAACACAAAAAAAACCCAACCAACTTGATAGCGATCACATAACACACTGACAAATGTCCTCCTCTCAGCTTCAATACATGACATCAATAACTGAATCTTACTATGATCTGATTGGCTCATTGCCAAAACAAGATGAGACCTGATTGGCCCTCTAAACACTCATGCTCATTGGCTACAATCAGATGAAGAAAAGCTACCTGATATCAACCTAAGTAAGTTGTGCTTCCTTTTTCTGGTTATTTGGCTATAATTTTTCATAGAATACAATACAGATAATTGAATAAACTTTGTTGCATTACATTCTTGATTAAATTATCTTTCCATTGATATATAATTTTATAGTACTACTCCCTCCAAAAAGTAATGTTATTAGCCATCAAACCTCAAAAATACACTTTTCCCAAAAGGTTTCCACAATTTTGGCCACTACTGTATCTACCAAGGAAACTACATGGGCATCTCCACGTAAGCAACAAAATTTGAACTTGACTCAGAAGGAGGGTTTATTTTTTTTCCTCCCAAGATAACCCAAATGTTTCACTTGAGCTGGAAGAGTCACGATAGACAACGTTCTTGAACCTCAGATCTGTGCCCAGAGTTTCGTAATTTCATGTTCTAGGAGTGGAAAATGTATCTCATTAGGAAAAGATGAAGCTAGCTCTCTCGCTTATTCTCAGGACAGATGGGGACAAAAAGACCTTGTCTTGCAGAGACCAACATCTGCTCCCCCTCCTGCCTGTTTAGCATAGGCAAGGGACTTAAGGCAAGGTCAAAAGTTGGCCTCACCTCCAGGATTTGGTTGAACTGAGCCTTCAGCTCGAAATAGGGCTTGCTCTTCAGAATCACTCGCTTCAGGGACTTCTGGAGTGACTGCACCTTTGCCTCGGCCTGCTGGCAGAGCTGGGTGACCCGCTGGTGCTCCCGTTCGCTGCGCAGGCGTTCTTCCTCAGCCTCGTTCACCTGAAGGGCAGAGAAATCAGAGTCACTGAACATACTGAACCAGTATCAGAACTTGCTAGCCTCTTCTCTCCAACTTTATGGTTACTGCTGCTTTCCGACGCTATAAAAGCTACATCCACGGGGTGCTCCAGAACAACATTTCCCTGTCGGGAACCCTCCTGGATCATCCAGACTCTTTTGGAGCCCATCAGGTTGGAAAGGTCAGTCCAATTCCACCCTAGAACAGTGGTTCTCAACCTTTTTAATGCCGCGACCCCCAACCGGTCGTAAGTCGAGACTACTCAACTGGTGCAGCACCGTTTGCAGAATGGGACTTTTGGCGGGCTCAGCAGGGCAGAGACAGCCTGGACAATTCCTATTGGCTTTTGAAAGCCAATAGAATTAGACTCTATTCAAGAGAGTCTATTCTATTGGCTTTCAAAAGCCAATAGAATAAAAGGGAGTAGCACAGCTAAGGAAAAGGGGGAAAAAATGGCGGACTGCGTTGTTTGGCGACCTCCGTGAAATGGTCGTTTGACCCCAAATGGGGTCCCGACCCACAGGTTGAGAACCACTGCCCTAGAAGAAGAACTTCACCTTGGAGGTGGCATGGTTCAGCATCTCCTGCCAGGTGGGATCCAGCCTGTTCTTGTCTGCCATGACTCCCTGCTCAGCCACAAAAACCATTTCCCGGGCTGCATTGTGCATGCTAACAGCTCGTTCGTACCGCAGGGCAGCCTTCTGGGTCTCTTGCTGGGCCTGCCAGAAAGCAAGAAAAATGGAATCAGGAATGTTAATTAAACAACAACCATCCCTCTGAACATTGCCTGAATACAACTGAGAAAAGGAATCGGTTTCTCTGGTCTCCCCTTTCCTCTTGAGGGAAGTCCATCCATCATATTTTTCTCACTTCTGTCAGATTTGATTTATAGGGCCTTGCATGCCAGAACTAGACACAAGGACAGTTTTTCGCCCATGCCATCACTCTGCTAAACAACTAATTCCCACAACACTGTCAAACTACCTAGTAGGGCTGTATTACTATTATTCTTCTCATTTTTTCTATTACCTATTCCTTATCTTCTTATGACTATAACTTTGTTGCTTGTATCTTACAATTTATATAAATTCTTTTATTTAGTATCCTGGTATGATTTATGTTGATTGCTTATTTATTATCCTATGACTATCACTGTGTTGTATCTTATGATTTATGATGAATGTATTTTATGATTACGATCATGATTTATCACTTGTTGCTTGTATGTACACTGAGAGCTTATGCACTTGAGACAAATTCCTTGTGTGTCCAATCACACTTGGCCAATAAGGAATTCTATTCTATTCTATTCTATTCTATTCTATTCTATTCTATTCTATTCTATTCTATTCTATTCTATTCTATTCTTTGTTGTTGTTGTTAATTGCGAAGTCGTGTCCGACCCATCGCGACCCCATGGACAACGTTCCTCCAGGTCTTCCTGTCCTCTATCATCTTCTGGAGTCCATTTAAGTTCACACCTACTGCTTCAGTGACTCCATCCAGTCACCTCATTCTCTGTCGTCCCCTTCTTCTATTGCCCTCAATCTTTCCCAGCATTAGGCCCTTCTCCAGTGAGTCCTTCCTTCTCATTAGGTGGCCAAAGTACTTGAGTCTATTCTATTCTATTCTATTCTATTCTATTCTATTCTATTCTATTCTATTCTATTCTATTCTATTCTTTCTGTTCTGTTCCGATTCTATTCTATTCTATTCTATTCTATTTTAATTCTATTCTATATTCCATTCCATTCCATTCCACTCCACTCCATCCTTTCATGCTGATCCGTCTTTTCCAACATTTTATGAATCCTCTCTTAAAAATTAAATAAGCAAATAATAAAATAAAATAATAAAATAAAATAAAATTTTTCTGATGTTAAAACTGCAGAAGATAAATTATATATTCATGAAAGGCCAAGGTCACTATTATTGTTCTTCCTGTTAACTGCTTTGTCATTAATATAACATATGGAAGACAGGTCAACAAGTTTCAAATAGATTTAGTAGTTTAAAAATATTGGAAGGGCTTGTTTCGCTAGAGGTAGGAATTAATATTGTAGCAATATACGAATCAGTATTCAACTAGAGGGGATAATATGTTTATAATGTGTGAGTTTTTATGCACCTTTTTAATGCTTTGTTTTGTGTTTTTTTTTCTTTTGTCTCCTTTTGAGTTTCGTATTTTAACTTTGTTTTGAATAAAATAAAAACATATGAAAAAAGAAGAAGAAAAGCCAGGGCCTGCGTACCTCCCTGGCCAAGCGCCTGGCTTCATAATAAGGGCGTGCTTTCTCAATGCAGTTTCCCAGCTGGGAGCCCTGAGTATTCAGCTTCCTAGCCGATTCAGACAAGATCCTCCGGTATGTGGTGCGAGCCTCCTGTTAAGACCAAAGGCACAAACTGTGTCAACATCTTTAATAAACATACCCCCCCTACAATTCTTGGCGTATTTATTACTCTTATTCAGACTTTGCCTTTCTAGCTTGCCCGTGCCCTTCCCGAGGTTCTTTCCCTGCAACTGATTTTAATGCTGTGCAAATTGGATGTTCAACGGCGGCTCAGGCAGGGCGTCCATACCACACGGCCACTGTCTGGACCAGCGACAGAAGCCCTGATGGTGCCAATCTATCCCAAGTGTCAGATGCATATGAGCAGCTGTATGGAAGTCCCAAAGGTGATAGGGCAAGAGCAACTGCAAAGCACTGGGTTCAAACAAAAGTCCTATCTGTCACTAGCCTTAACAAGAAATAATCTCATGTTACTGGCGGTTCTCGGAGAGTTGAACTTCACCATCATGCCAAGCAGACCGATACAGTTTGCAAGAGAAGCCATAGAATTGGCTCCACAGTTTAAACTAGGCCAAAGTACTAACTGATCTTATTTACTTGGGGTAAAAAAAAAAAAAAAACCTTTACATTTTTGACTTAGCAGCACTATTCAAATGATTTCAGAATACTTTAAAAAACAGTCCTCCCAAACTCAGTGCCTCCTATATATTGTCACTGTTGCTGGGAATTTTGGAAATAGTAATCCTAGTATACAGATGAATTCTGAGAGGAGCATTTCCAATTCAGAGAGGAATTTTAGGATTTGCATTCTGAGTAATATCGATGGAACTTTAATTGCATCACATTACACAGCATTTAAACACAACTTTTAAAAAGCTGAGTTTAACAAACTCAGAGAAGGCCTAAGAAAAATTCCATGGATAAAAATCCTAAAGGGGAAAACAATTCAAGAAGCATGGAAAATACTAAAAAATATGTTCCTAAAAGCCCAGTCCAACACAATACCACTGAAAAAGAAAAACAAGAAACCCAAGAAGAAACCAGCATGGCTGCACAAAGATCTCTCTGATAAACTGAAAGACAAAAAAGATAAATACAAAAAAAATGGAAAGAGGGACACATAACTAAGGCAGAATATCAGCAGATAGCCCAAAACTGCAAAAATGAAGTCAGAAAAGCAAAGGCTCATAATAAACAAAGACTTGCAACAAAAGTCAAAGATAATTTAAAAAAATGTATGAATAACAAGAAAAAAGTCAAGGAAACAGTCAGTCCACTAAAAAGAGAAGATGGCAAGGAAGTAACAAGCAATAGGGAGAAAGCAGAGCTGCTTAACTCATTCTTTGTATCAGTCTTCAAGCAAAAAGAAACTAAAACCTAACCTATCAAAAACATAACTGTAAAAGACAGACTAGAAATAAAAATTAAAATAAGCAAGAAAATGGTAAGAGAACACCTGTCTGACCGTGATGAATATAAATCATCAGGACTTGATGGATTACATCCCAAAAGGAGCTGGCAGATGTTATCTCAGAACCACTGTACCACATCTTTAAAAAAAAACCTGGAGCACTGGGGAACTACCAGAGGATTGGAAAAGAGCCAATGTGGTTCCCATCTTCAAGAAAGGAAAAAAAACAGACCTAGGAAACGACAGACCAATCAGCCTAACATCAATACCTGGGAGGATACTGGAAAAAATGATCAAAAAAGAGATATGTGAACATCTAGAAACAAATAAAATTATAACTGGTAGCCAGGACAGGTTTGTTAAAAACAGATCATGCCAAAACAATCTTAATTCATTCTTCGATAAAGTGACTAAATTAGTAGATCAGCGAAATGCTGTGGACGTAGTATACTTAAGACTTCAGCAAGGCATTTGACAAAGCAGACCACAACCTATTCCATGGTGAACTAGAAAAATGGGGGATAGACAGGATCACCACCAGATGGATTTGCAACTGGCTGACAAACTGTACTCAAGGAGTCATCCTTAATGGTACCACATCTACATGGAGGGAAGTAAGTAGTGGTGCCAGAGGGTTCCCTCTTAGGCACAGGGCTCTTCAATATCTTCATAAATGACTTAGTTGAGGGAATAGGAGGGGAACTCTTCTAATTTGCAGATGGCACTAAGCTGGCAGGAATAGCCAACACCCCAGAAGACAACCTCAGGATCCCCAAAAATCTTGACAGACTTGAACAATGGGCCCTATCCAACAACATGGAATTTAATGTGGAAAAAAGAAAGGCTTTATACCTAGGCAGGAAAAAACAAAAGTACAAGTACGGATTAGGAAAAACCTGGCTCAAAATTAATAAATGTGAGAGGAACCTTGGAGTCCTAGTTGACGACAGTGTGCAGCAGCAATCAAAAAAGCTAATACAATCTTTGGTTGTATAAACAGAGGCGCAGAAACAAAATCATGTGAAGTATTAGTACCGCTTTACAAAGCCTTAGTAAGGCCACATCTGGAATACTGCATCCAGTTTTGGTTATCACATTACAAAAAAGATGTTGAGAAGGATGAGGGGGCACATGATAGCAGTGTTCCAGTATTTCAGGGGCTGCCACAAAGAAGAGGGAGTCAAGCTATCTTCCAAAGCGCCTGAAGGCAGGACAAGAAGCAATGGGTGGAAACTAACCAAAGAGAGAAGCAACCTATAACTAAGGAGAAACTTCCTGACAGTTAGAACAATTAATCAGTGGAATAACCTGCCTCCAGAAGCTGTTAATGATTCAACACTGAAAGTTTTTAAGAAGAGACTGGATGGGAGCTTCCGGTACGGGGCGACGGCGATGGCGGCTACCTTGTAGCCGTCCAGCTGGGAAGGTGTCAGAATCGCGGAGCGCAGCGCGTATCAGCTGGCCCGCGGTTCGGAATTCCCTTCCCGGGCAAAGGGAAGGGATAGAGAACGCAGGAGTAGAGGTAGAACCCCTGAACCCCCTCTGGATTCATTCCTAGAGGGGGTGAAAGGAGTGTTCCCTCGGAGCTCCTGCTGATCTCTGCCTCCCAGCTGTTTTTGCTTCTTGGAAGCAAAAGAAACCGCCGCCTCTATCTCCGTGAATATAGCGTCCTGGTGAGTAATTTTTAAAACGGACAGAGCGGCTTAAAGGATTCTTTTATATAGTTTAGGGTTTTTATATAGTTTAGTTTTGGTTATCTCTCCTTTGTTCTTTCTTTTGTTGATACGGAGAGAGGAAATAAGATGGCGTTTTGAAAGTGTCGGAGTTTTTTTTTCCCTTTGTTTCTTTTTTGTTTTTAAAGAACTGGACTTTAATGATTTTGCTTTTGGTTTTTTTTGTTTCTGGTACTGGATTTCTCTTTCGATTTTTTTTTCTCTTTTTTCCTTGGATTTTTAAGGATTATAGTGCTTTTGCTGTCTTTTTAAAAAATTCTTTTTTTTTCTTCCCCCTCCCCTTTCTTTGGGGAGAAGGGAAGTGAGAACTGTGTCATATAAAATGGCTTCAAAGAGACAGCCGCCTTCTATAACATCTAAGGCGGTCTCTTCTCCTATAACTCTTACTGCACAATCACAACAACAATCTAAACATGTACCACCGACTCAGCCACCACCCTCCCCTCCTTTGCCAGGTCTGTCAGTACAAGAGGTTAAAGGCATAATGGGAGATGCTATGTCTCAAATGAGAGATGAAATGAAGCAATTTGTCATACAGATTAAATCCGAAATTAAAGAAGAGATAAGTGGGATAAAGAACTTATTAGAAGATAATAATACCATCTTGCGGCAAGATATAGTTGCAGCTGTATCAGGCTTGGCTACGGTGGTGGTGAAGCTGGATTCGAGGCTAGAGGAAGTGGAAGATAAAGTTGATTCTTTTGATGTGAAATTTCAAGATGTGGAAAGGAAGGTGGAGACTTCACAAGAAGATATTCTTATGTTTCAGTACAGACAGATGGAGTATGCCTTGAGGATTAGAGGCCTTAAGGAAGACATGAATCAAGACCTGATGGAGATGGTGCTTACTGACTTAGCTATTGCTCTGAATATGGATAAAGGAGAATTATGCAGAGAAGTGGAAAAAATTTATAGAGTCAACTCTTGGATTGCGAAGCAGAAGAATTTGCCTAGAGATGTGGTGATTTATTTTACAAAGAAGTCTCTGCGCAATGAAATTGTACAAGCCTTTTATAATAAGAGATTCCAGATTGCTTCCCAAGATATTATTATTTTAAAGGAAATCCCATCCAAAATCTTAAGAAATAGGAAAGATTTTTCTTTTCTAGTTAATGAGCTTAAAGTCAGATCGATGCCATTTAGATGGGAGATCCCGATGGGTATTGTTCTGAGCCATGCGGGGACGCGTTATAGATTGAATACGGTTGATAAAGCTAGAGAGTTTTATAATACGGTCCTGGGTGCAGGCTCAGCTTCATCTGTTCAGAAATCCTTGAGTGGCAAAGAGTTGGGGCAGCAATCTGAGGCATTAGGTCTGGTCTCTGCTGGGATGCTGCAAGCTGAATGGCAACGTCAAACGGAGGTTAAAGAGCAGAGAATGACCCGTGCAGCTTATAGACGTAAGGAGAAGGAGCAACGCAAGAAAGAGGCCAAAGAATCTTCTTCTGAAAGTGCTTCATCGCCGGTGGGAGGAGCAAGACCCAAGAGTTCTGCAACACATGCAGCAATGGCAGATCTCGAAGGAATCTTCTCCGGGCTCCTGGCCAAGGGAGATGGCAAAGTTTCTGACCTGGAATGTTAATGGATTGAATTCTCCTCAGAAAAGGAAAAAAATCTTTTACTATTTGAAGCAACATAATAATGATGTTATTTGTTTACAGGAAACTCATATTTTACTTAAGGATCAGAAATATTTAGTTAATGCTCGTCTGGGATCTCATTTTGTATCTTCTGCTCCTGGGAAAAAGGGGGGAGTTGTTATCTATGTGAAGCAAAATTTACCAGCTTGTCTGGTAGAATCAGATCCCCAAGGAAGATATGTGATGATTGAACTTGGCTTATATGGTAAGAAAGTACTTATAGTGGGACTTTATGCACCAAATCAGCAACAGGAACAATTTTATAGGTTGTTACATCAAAAAATAACTTTGTTGGACTATAGATCC